CTTCTTTTCGCCACAAAATGAAAAACAAAAAGTTAGAATTGCCTGATATAAAGTCGCAATTGCGTGTTATAAAATCAGAATTGCGAGATATAAAGTCAAAATTGCAGATATAAAGTCAGAATTGCGTGATATTAAGTCGCAAAGTTGGAGTTGATTGATATAGAGTCGCAATTGCGTTTTATAAGGCCAGAAATGCATGATATAAAGTCGAAATTGCGTGTTGTAAAGTCAGAATTATTATAAACTATTCTGAGGGGGGGAAAGTTTCCCTTATGGCCTGAAGTCGCAATTGAGAGACTGGGGATCACTCTCAGAAAAAAAAGGTACGAAAGCTGTCACTGGGGCGGTACCTTTTCAAAAAGGTACACTTTTGTACCTAAAGGGTGCATATGGTACCTTCATGGTACATATTTGTACAATTATGGTAACAATATGCACCCTTAGGTACAAAAGTGTACCTTTTTGAAAAGGTACCGCCCCAGTGACAGCTTTCGTACCTTTTTTTCTGACAGTGGACGGTTGAAACACTTTTTTTCTCATGACCTAAAACTACCTCTTTTTTTTTTAGCTACACGTCTAAAACTTTTAGGCAAAGTACCCATTTTTGTCTACTACAAATTGCAACAATTTAAATTTCTTTTATATTTCTAACTGCCGCTTTTGATCATACATCACCATCCGACGTTTTAGGGTACCCTTTAATGTCAGTTAGATCCTATCTAATCCTAACCCTACCCCAGACCTAAACCTACCTGCGTCATCTAACTGACGCTAAAGGGTACCCTAAAACGTATGATGTTGACGTATGGTCAAAAGCGTCAGTTAGATGACGTCTTGGGATGAGAATGTGTTTTTCAAATTGGGAAATCATCAGATAGATCATTAGATATTTTGCAACGTTTGTTCAGAATAAATCAAACAAGGACAGTTATTTCATTTTTAATACCTGCTCATACACACTGTAAAAAAATATTGTTGCTTTAACTTAAAAAATGAAGTAACCTGGTTGCCTAAAAATTTTAAGTTCATTGAAATGGAAAAACAATGTTAATAAAAGTTAATACAATGAAGGAGATTGATTTAACCATCAGAAACTCAACATATGATGTTATCTGAACTACATAAATTATTTCAGTTGATTTGACAAATGAAAAAATGTTGTGATTACAAATCATGATTTTTTTTACAGTGTAGTAGTAGAAGTTTAATACTGAATGTAAATATCTCAAAGACAGAATTAATGTACAGGGTGTATTTAAGATGTACATGTTTGTTGTTTCCTTTTATCTTTCTTTTTCTCTCTTTTAAATTTTTTTGTTTAGTAGTTTTCCTTCAAAGTCAATAGTAGGTGCATGGTGGAATTTGCACCGAAAGCTGGTTTGCCAACTGCCACAAAACATCACAGAAGAAGAGGAATTATACCACATGATTGGAAATGCATACTATAAAGTGGTATTTATTGGTCTGTTTTCTCCACACATAACAACTCACATTTGATTAATTTTATGTTTAAATGCATAATTTTATAAATTAGTGTAAATTGTTCACTTTTGCCATCCAGCCATTTCAATGAGCCATTTGTGTATATAATTCAGGCAGTTTCCTCAAATGTACTGCATGGATCAAGGGCAATTTAATTTGGATTTTACTCTTTGGTGGGCTTAAAGCCAAAGATCTTTGCAAAGAAGTCATCAGCATATTCAGAGCACAGTCGTAATTCACTTTCACTTTAGAGTGTTTGAGTCAAGGTTACTATATGACAGCTTATCAGTTAGTCCTTCAATCATTCATTCATCTCACGTGTGTCTGTGTGTTAGGTGTGGAGCCACACCTAACTTGAAAAGTCATAAAGAAACCTAAATATTGTGGTGATGATAATTGATAATCACGTTCTATGCACACTGATAAAAAGCATGATTTCCTGTATGCTATAGTCATAACAGTGACCATAGCATGCTATTAAACAGGCATGGAGGAGGCCTGAGAAAGAACTTTCATCCAATACTCTTGTCATTCTCATGGTTGAGTCAGTTTTGAGTATTTGGTTCACATGAATTTAAAAAATTTCTGTGGGTATTTTGTCAGTCGGGCCTAAAACCAATATGTCCGCCCATGCATGGAGCTGAACATTCTGACTTTGCGGAAAGTAGTTTCATATGAATCTTACTTTTGCAATACAACTGCTAATATTAATTATGAACATGTCTCAAGATGCTGAAAAAGAAAATTAAGGTATACAGTATATTGTTCAGGCTGTTATGTGCCACATTTTGAAACGTCTGTATCCCCGGAGATACGTTGCCAGATTAGGGTAAGAAAAAGGTAACACAGTCTCATCCCAAAAAGTCATATAACTGACGTCTTGGGACGTTTTTTGACCGTACGTCAATATCCGTCTTTTTAGGGCCCCCTTAAACGTCGGTAGATGGCGATCCCGGGCCGTCATACAACTGACGCTTTTACCTTTAACGTCAGTTAGGTGACGGGTTAGGTTTAGGGTTAAGTTTAGGTCTGGGGTAGAGTTAGGATCCCATAACCTCATCTACCGACGTTTAAGGGGGCCCTAAAAAGGCGAATATTGACGTATGGTCAAAAGATGTCCCAAAACGTCAGTTATATGACGTCTTGGGATGAGACCGGGTTGGAAAAAGGTGATTCCACAATTTGGACAATCAGTGTCATCATCATTAACTGGCCCCAGTACAGTTTGTGTTATTTGTTATTAACTAGGGGGTTGTAATGGGGATGATCGGGGGAATTTCCTGGAAAAATCATTGCATTAACACTCATCAGTCTCTCACATATGGCAAGAAATGGCCATTGAATGACTAAGAGTCGCATACAACTGAAATGGCAATAGATAGATGTGTTGCTGACTTGTTTATTTTCACTCATTTGCTTTTGTGTTTCATTTTTGTCTTTTTGTGAATGAACTTTTGTAATTTCTTCACTGTGAATGCAGAAATTAACAAATACACTGGACAAGAAGTATACCTCAAAATTTGTTTTCTAAAAGTAGGAATATTTCCTGAATCAATGCCACTTTAGCACGTGTTTTGCTCTGGTTTAAAGTTCAAGAGCTTTGAAAAGCAGTCAACAACATGTTTATAAAACACAGTAGAATTTCACTTTCATTTTGAGTGTTTACTATATTTAAGACACCACAGGGTCTAAAGTCGACACCTATCAAAGCGAGCACAAATATTATATGGGTGGTCATAATGTTTTGCGCTCTTCTATTTATGTACTGTATTTATATACCACACCTGCCAATGGCTGCATGGTGACTTAAAGGATTAGTTCACTTTTGAAAAAACTTTTGCTGATAATTTACTCACCCCCATGTCATCCAAGATGTCCATGTCTTTCTTTCCTCAGTCGAAAAGAAATTAAGGTTTTTGATGAAAACATTCCAGGATTTTTCTCCTTATAATGGACTTCCATGGGAACCAGGTCCAACCGAGGTCCAAACGACAGTTATAACAGTTACAGATGCAGCTTCAAATGTCTTTAAACGACACCAGACGATGAATAAGGGTCTTATCATGCGAAACTTCAAAGCTTATTCCAAAAATGTAACTTTTCTAAGGACAAATGCTAGCCTTTCTCCATTCTGTGAGGCGCGTTTGCAACGTCACGTAATACGTAATTACGTTCAAAAGGTCACGGGCGACGTAGCCAGAAGTACAGAGTCAGAGTGTTTACAAGTTGAACGCATAGGTTGAACGTGAAAACTAACTCAAACGCCGTTTACAAAAAAGGAATTAAAAGGTAAAACAACGATGTCGGACAATTTTGATTCTGTACTTCCGGCTACGTCGCCCGTGACCTTTTGAACGTAATTACGTATTACGTGACGTTACAAACGTGCCTCACAGAATGGAGAAAGGCTAGCATTTGTCCTTAGAAAAGTTACATTTTTGGAATAAGCTTTGAAATAAGTGATCGTTTCGCATGATAAGACCCTTATTCATCGTTTGGTGTCGTTTAAAGACATTTGAAGCTGCATCTGAAACTGTTATAACTGTCGTTTGGACCTCGGTTGGACCTGGTTCCCAATGAAGTCCATTATAAGGAGAAAAATCCTGGAATGTTTTCATCAAAAACCTTATTTTCTTTTCGACTGAGGAAAGACATGGACATCTTAGATGACATGGGGGTGAGTAATTTATCAGCAAAAGTTTTTTCACAAGTGAACTAATCCTTTAAGAAAAATTGACCGGCCATAAATGTTTTTTACCGGCCATGAAACTGTTTTGGCAAAAACAGGCTGTTAAGACACCCAAAACTGCAGTGAAAATTCACACAATTTCAATAGTACATCTAAACCGACCCTAACTCAACTAAGGCCCCGTCCACACTACTGCTTTTTCGTTTAAAAAGGGAGAATTAAAACGAATACGATCTCCGTCCACACCAGCGTTTTATCTGCGTATTAGAAATGATCTCCATCCACATTAAAACGACTGAAAATGCGGATCACGTGACCATTCACCTACACTAGGCATGCACGTGCTGGTGTATACAGTGGCTGACGAATCAGGGAAGGCCACGTCATGACTGATGACACCCAATCATAGAGCCGAGCGTGAGCCTCTGCGTCATCGTTTCTAAACTCCTCGTTAAACATTAAATGTATCTAACACAGTCTCATCCCAAAAAGTCATATAACTGACGTTTTGGGACGTATTTTGACCATACGTCAATATCAGCCTTTTTAGGGCCCCCTTAAACGTCGGTAGATGGCGATCCCGGGCCGTCATACAACTGACGCTTTACCTTTAACGTCAGTTAGGTGACGGGTTAGGTTTAGGGTTAGGTTTAGGTATGGGGTAGAGTTAGGATCCCATAACCTCATCTACCGACGTTTAAGGGGGCCCTAAAAAGGCGAATATTGACGTATGGTCAAAAGACGTCCCAAAACGTCAGTTATATGACGTCTTGGGGTGAGACCGGGTTGATGTATCCGTCTACATTAAAACACCCTCCGGAGATTCAAAACGCAAAACGGAGCTGCAGCGATTCTAACCTTCTCCGTTTTAGGGCTTCGTTTTTTTCCGTTTTAGTCTGGACGGGAGGTGCAAACGTAGCAAAAGGTCTCCGTTTTTTTAAACAAAAATGCTGTAGAGTGGATGGGGCCTATATAAATGTAAACCATTATTAAAGACAATTAACAGTAGTTTTCAGGTAGACACTAAATAAAGAAATCAAATACAAAATAAGTAATACTGGATAGTCTTCATGGTATGAGTAATTTATACAGATTAATCCATATTAAAGTTACTAAAGTTTTTTAGTCAATAGCAGAGAGTGATTTTTTTTTCATTGTCTTTTGTTGTTTGAATAACATTAAAAACACAGACTGCTGCAGACATTTTAGGCTGCTGTCACTTTAAGACCATAATGCACGGATCCAAGTTACACAAGCGTGTTGTTTCTTCTAGTTTGTAAGGGTTAATGACACACCTTTCTACTTAGTGTTTTTTTACCCTCTACGATTGCCATTTTCAGTCTTGGTCAATGCACATAGGAATCATGTTGGGGAGTCAATTTCCTCAGGCAGGCACATTTAAACCTCCACACATAAATTACCTGGCCGTGTAGATACCAAAAGCTTTTTTTAGCTACACCCAGCCTTTTCTAACAGGTGCATAAAACCAAATACAGTTATGCACATAAATCTGACATCATTGATTCTCTTGAATTAATGGGATCAAATCCTTGCAGCCTTTACTACAACAGTTCCCTGTTACAGTTTTTTTGGGCTGTTTAAGCACGATTTTCAAAACACTACACACAATTAGCAAAACCACACACACAATTAACAAAGCCACAGATCATTTGCAATATTTAACACTCTTGTAACTACTGTATACACTTCTGTTCAAAAACCACACTTTGTTACCATTATGAAACACACGTTTCACATTACTTCTTGACATTATACTCTGTTTGCACGAGCAACCCGATCACACTAAATGCGTCTTTATAGCACGCATGTGTATCGTTGTGTAATTTATACACTAAAGTGAGTTTTTATGTGCATATGATACGCATTGGTTGGTTTAGTAGCGGTGTGGGGTGCGTGTGTATTATACATTTGGGTAGATAGTGGTGTGGGGTGCGTGTGTATTACAATTAGTATATCAACTGCATGTGAAAAACTGTGTTTCATATGCTACATAAAATATAATATAAAAAATATATATAAATTTGAATATATAAAAAATATAAAAACTAATTTTCGTGTATAAATTACACAACAATACACGATGCGTGTTATAGAGACGCTCTGTGAAAAACACTTTCTTTTGACCACATCTATAATTTCCCTAAAAACATTTCTGATTTAGCACATTGTGAACTGAACTGACTTGCTCACTTCAAGTCAAGGGTACAGCTGTCAATAAAACTACTGGATGATCTAATGATAAGTTTATCATTAACTTAAGAACACATCCATTAATCCACAGTAGTTTTGTTGACAGCATTTATAATTTAATTGACAGCCATAATAATGCAATAAAGTTTTCGTAGAGAAAGTGAGCTATGTTTTTAAAATAACGAATGTATTGATATTGTCCATAAATACAATATGCTATTCATAATAGTTGAATTCATAGTTCATTTAGTTCATCACAGTTTATGGTGTGAAGCTTATCTTAAGATAAACTTCATAGATACAGTATTAAAGTAAAACTTAGGGTGTGTGTGTGTGAGGGGGGGGGGGGGGGTATTTAGTATTATGCAGTTGGCATATTAATATGACTTCTGATTTTTGAACAGTCAACTGCTATTGTTTTATCACACTTGATGTACTTTGTAGATGAGGTCTGTATAGGTCCAACATCCTTCTTTCCTGCCATAACAGTTTTTGATGAAGTTCAACCTGGAATAAAATATCATACAGGTTGAAGAGAAACATTCTCAAATCTTCTCAAATGATAAAATTCTTAAATAGACTTGTAAGCCTTGTTCAATTTGTTTCCTTTTTCCTTATTTCCATATTTCCTATATTCCGTATTATGACCTTGTTTTTATCAAACAGAACTGCAACAGTTTCTCAAGCTGTCAGTATTCCCTGCAAATAAAATATCATAATATTTTATTAATAATAATAATAATAATAATAATAAGTCTACTTAAATTATGGGACTCCCGCTATATGGAGCCCATGATGAAAGTGAACTGATTCAGAATTCATCACCTGTAACAGTCTGGGAATTTCCATCCTGTTGGAAATTATAGGCTAATGACACGTGTGTGGGTGCGTTCCCTGAAGCCATAGTCGCAAGTTCCATCATTACATCGTTGAACACAATCATTCAACGGAATTTGCTTGCGACCGTTGGCTAACGATGCTTGTGGGAAACACACACCTGACCATGTCAGTTGGTCCCTGACTCTTTTAGTTGCCCTCCTAAATCTTTATTCAATATTATGGCTCTCTTTTTACATTTTCAGAATGTATTTTAGTAGGCTATTCTAAACAATATTTTTTAATTCAACTTAACTAATTTATTTATTTTTTTTAAAACTGCACGTTTGAATCAATTCCTTAATGACAAGTCAGGAGTGAGTATTTATTCAAAATTGGGTTTAACTGAGGAACATGTTTACAACGAGCTCAAAAGATGATATCACTGGGCATTTCAAGGAAATCACAAGACAGTTGATCTTATTTGTTTGACTTTTATCATGTGAGTAGTGAAAGGGTGGAAACGGTCTGGGAGTACCTAAATAGTTTGCAACGTATCCAGTATTTTTCCAACAGCCACAGTGGGCTTGGCACTTCTGAGCAGCTGCGGTCACGGTTTGGAGGAGGAGTCTGCAATGGACAACTTGGTTCACTGAAACCAACCACCACATAGACAGTACTGTTTGAGGATACTACAGTAATGGACTGTTGTTATGGATCAAATGGGTATTATTTTAACTGGGAGGAAATGCGCGTGAACGCAGATATTTTTTACCTTGTGCAGGCTGCACCAGTCCAGCAGATGTTGACGGCGACAGAGTGGTCACGTGCGAAATTACATTGTAGCCAAACATTAATCTGTTTTGAAGTCCACATTTAAGCGGAAACACTGCATATAAATTTATATTTTTATAATAATTCTGGGGTGGCAATGGTTTTTGTGAGGAGTCAGTTAGCCTACTACAGCCTATCCGCCCCTGATCTTTCACAGCTGACAGATCAAGACCACATGGGGGGGCTTGGCTTTCGCTGATGCCAAATAAGCTCCGCCTACAAAAAACGTCACCATGTTTACCAACTGAAAAGGGTCTATTTAAAGAGGAATATGTGCATGTTGACTTGTGTAGGATTTCTGCAATTTGTCGAGACATTGTTTTACTCTACTTAAAATATTTTTATAGACCTATAGTTCCTAATCGCCATTGTATGAAATCACATTTGATTCACTGAATTGCTGATGTTTATTGGCAGTCCTCCTCCCCACCAAATCAGAGAAATAAATACTCAAAGCATGACTGACATTTGAGTTGCACTTTATTTTAAATTATGTACTTACAGTGTAAAGCCGAAGTGAATACATATATAATACATATATACATATAAATATAATAAAAATATATATAAGGTAATAAGGGTTAAGGTTAGGTTTAGCAGTAGTTTAGCATTAGCAGTAGCACTAGGTTCAGAGAGTGAGTCCCTAGTTAGTTATTACCTAGTTATTGTAATTACAGTACATCGGAACAGCGCTGTAAAATAAATGTAAATGTAAAAAATATACAGCATATACAAATAACTGTACATAAGCGCTTTATTTCAAGCAATGGAATAGTAGCTTGAAAATAGTAATATATATTTGGGATGTAAATATTTCCATTTTTTCCATTTCCTTTTATGTCCTCCCAAATTCAGCTGATTCTTGGATTGCTCTCAGAAGCATTCTGTAAAGTTCCACTTTATCTTTTACCACCCTGGGCAGGAACAACCCCATTATGCATGTGTTAGCATATGGCAGACGGCATCCATGCTCCTCTGGCTGGTAGAAATGAATGCTGGGCTTATGGGGGAACCCAAGAGGTGGGACTTCATCCGCTCCAGTTACGAAGGCCAAAATCTCCTCAAAATGCAACTCATTTTGTGGAGCTTTTTGATCTGTTTAGGGAAAAATGACAAGCTCAAGTCTTGACAAATTGCCAATTACAAGCTCAAGTATGCAATTACACAGTTTATTTCACAGTTCATTTGCTGACTAGGAAACTCACCCTCAATCATCTGAAGCACCAGTTCCCAGTAATGTAAAGTCTCCTCTTCAGCCGCCCTCTTCTTGGTTCCTACTTTACTCCAGTGGATTTGGAACAGGGCTGTGAATGTGCTTCTGGAAAGGGGCTCATGCATGTTGGTAAAGATGGGCAGAAACTCAACCCAGTGAGTTCTTACCATATCCCAGAACTGTCCATAAGCATTCAGTCCCTTTGTAAACTGGAGAATCATATTTGATGTTCTGTGAAAATTAGCAGAGACTGTTAAACGACTATTCTTATATTTGCGCAGTATCACACCACAAATATTATTAGATAATTATTTGTATAAATATACTAAACAGTGCTCTTGGAACGACCAATCACATTAGAGGGCCGGAACTAACTGCTGTGTAAATGAGGGTAAAGGCTCTTTCACATTGAGGCCACATCCCCACGAAGCCAGTGCTTTCCCTATCCGATGTTCGTAATAAAAATGTCCGTAAACACGGCAACGTCTCGAAAAATATCTGCTTACACACGAAACCACTGAAACCGACTCAAAACGATGTATACATCCCAGACCAGTATATGGCGCTGTAATTCTCCTATAGAGATGCACTAAAAAAGCGAGAAGAAGACTTAGAGCATGGCATAAAACCTTCCACGCTGTAGGCTACTAGACAGTAAAATAATAGACTATGCAATAATATTAGGCACAGTTGCTTCTTTTCTTTTTTTCACCAAGAACTTTATTGAAGAACCATAAATTGCCTGGTACAAAACAGGGAGTCACGATAATCGATTAGTTAGCGCCTCAAAGAACCAGCAAAATAACAAATGTGTCAAATGTAGACATTTTGATTGTTTATTAATAACCTAGTGTTTTCTGTGTCATTCTTGACTGAAAAGATGAAGCTGACGATGCTGATTCGCTACTTTGCAGTATTGTGAACGTGCCTATGGAGTAGGCTAATGCACTTCATACAGATTAGGCTATAAGAGAGTGTTTTCTGTTTCTTTTCGTTTTGAATTGTTGTTCGATGTTGTTTAAATGTGGACATTTCAAGCTTTCTATATATTTCGGTTTTCGTTTTTTTTATGAGACGAGCTCCAGTTCCCCATCCCTACAAAATACGAAATGTCTTAATCGAACTACAGACCAGCTCCATAGCATACGAAAGAAAGTACAGGCCTAAATAAATAAATTAAATTAAAATACATTTAAGTAAATAATAAATAAAGGAATACAAGAGGCTAGTTTCTGCCAAATTATATTATATTATTATTATTATTATACAAGCAGTTCGGCAGTTGTTGCTGTTGTTAACAGTCTGACTAGTCGACACGTGGGGTGATGACATCATCTTTCCACAAAAATACGCAAATTTTCCGTACACACGAAAACACAAGGGTGTCCTTTTCAGATGTATCCACCCTGGGACCCAGTTTCAAAAATATACCGGTTTCAGTGTCCCAAAACGCTGGATCCGTACGATCTAGACGAAACGCCAATACGACAAAAAATTTGAACGTATACAACTTAACGCGTCTCTGTGTGGATAGGGCCTGAATGCGCCGCAATAAAGTTTAGCAAATTGGCTATGAACAGAGCTTTCACACTGGTACATGAAACGATTGAATGCATTCAGATAATTCACGCCTGAACGATGGGTGGCGCACTGGCGCTGACTAAGAATTTTGTATGCTTTTAAAAGCCCTTCAGGTCGCATAATTCTGTGGGAAAGTAATACAAATGTCTGTAATCTGCATAAAGAGGATGTAAGAATAAATCTGTTCTCAGACACCAATGATATAAGAACTCAACATCCATTCTATTTTCTTACTTTTCTTCAGCGTTAACGCAGGTTTTCTAAACAGCGCCACCACTGTGGCTCAGGTAAGCTCAAATCTAATTGGATGGCTCGTTCCATTGTTGACGCTTAATTTTTTTAGTCATCATGTTACGATTGATCGTGCCGGGGGTGAATAGTCCCATAAGGATCTATTGTTCCGATTCAAGAGTGTCCTTTCGACATACATTCGTGTCACTTAATCACGCTCAGTGTAAAAAGCCCTTTAATTTGATAAAAGCAAGAAGTAATGTTTATTATCAACGCATTCTCACCCCAAGGCCTCACCTTTGACCATGCTTCAATATTTGACGTTTTAGGCGCCCTTTTTGTCACTTACATGACGCGATCCTACGGCGTCATCTAACTGACGCTAAAGGTCGCCTAAAGCGTCAGATATTGAAGCATGTCCAAATGCTTCCCAAGGCGTCAGTTAAGTGACGCCTTGGGGGTGAGAATGGGCTGTTATTATATGAGTTATCAAATTTTAACATAGATTCATACCTAAGATATATGTAATGTCGAACTGCATAGGAGTAAATCTTTGGTACATCTTGGATGGAAATTTCAGGTCTGTATATTCCAGGGAATCCACAGTCACAGATCCAGTCGCCATGCTCTCTCTGAAGCCTATGGAGGTCTTTCGTCGTTCTACATGACAAAATCTGAACGCAAGATAAAATGGTTAGAGATCTTGTAGTTTAAGAAGGAGCAGATTGATGGAGAAAGGGATAGAAACCTTTTTCAGTTTGTCCTGAATGTCAGCATCTGGTATCAGGTGCCAGTCAAAGTCTACCAGTTGACATTCTTGGGTGCACATCAGCTGGTACAGACAAGGGTCAAAAGCCTTGAGTCCTGGTCCGCCATGAGCCACAGACCACGCAATCAGCTTCCCTGCCAACTCATACTTGTGTTCCTCCATGGACATCTGGTCATAAGTGAAGAACAAGTGTCCAGACGGTCCCTCAAAGATCCCCAGTGAGCTTTGCACCTCCATCATCAGGATCCTGAGGCAAGGGTAAAGATGAAACGAGATGCCATTCATGTCAAAGTCAAACAAAACTGTAACCTAGTTTTCTACTCTTTAATGAATCCAAATCCAAAGTGGCATACCTAAAAAACTCTCTCCGTGGACCTCCACAGTCGAGAGCTTGCTCACCAACAAATGTCACGATTGGTGTTTTGGTCCAAGAGAAATTGCAGTTGGAAAGCACATCTTTAGCACTCTGCAGCAAATTCTTACGAGAAACCAATACTGAAATTTGTCCATTGGCACTGAGATGCATGTGCTGAAACTCTCTGAGCAAAGAGCTAACGTCCATGTCCTCCTGTTGAAGAGATGTGAATGCTACCTTATGCTGCCCTTCTGTGATGTCAATGTATGTTCGCTGTGTGTGTCGAAATAAAGATAATTACCATTGAAGAGTTTCGGCTTGAATCTGAAAGATAACTGTTGGTTGAAGTCCGCCGGTCCCTTTGATGTGCAAGAGCAGGTGGAAGAGAGCATGATGGGTAGAAAGCATTTGGATTCATGTCTGACGATAGTGTGTCCGCAGTCATCTGTGGAAAAATTAGTAGCCTAGTTTAATTGTACAGTACTGAAACGTAATTGTTAAATAGCAAAATAAAAGTGCCTTCAAAGAACTCCAGTGCTTAAACATTGACCTTAGTGGCACTTAGTTATTACAGTATTTTAAAACTGAATAAATGAATAAATAAATAACAATTTCCTACCATACCTCATTTAAAACAATGTCCGTCTCAGGAATTATATAAAGTTCGCCATCGCCAAGCTCCTTTTTTATTTTCTTCAGAGTGTCTGCATGTAATCTGCGAAGTCTTCCACGTTTATCAGCCTTTGCGAAATGGAAACCAATAGAATCCAGATTGACCAATGGATATCTGGAGCAAATGAAGCAATTCAGCTCTCTCCAAGTCCAGTTAAGATTCACTCCTCTTGACTCCTGACTCCTCCTCTCAACAGGTATGCCTAGAAAGCATCACATAGGACATTTTGTAAGATTCTTAATGTTTCAAGCAGGTGTTAGCTGTAAACGTTATGTGCACAATGAGAATTG